AATGGTACATTGTTCAGAATGAGCTTGTATGTCCGCCTGGGGAGATGCAAGGTTAATAAATCCTAGCGATCAAAGTGTCTGGTCAGCATGACTCTGGCGATGATCTTATTTTCTAGCTGAGAGAGTTGCTGTTAACATGGTGTTCAAAAGGAATTGTTGAGTTGTCGCTCTCTCTTTTTCTCTCTGTCGGTCAGTCCAGCTCCATAATGAGATTTGTTCTGCTTCACATCTCCTTTGTCTGGCTAAGTGAAAGTGACCTCTCATTTGGTGTGTTGTAGCACGCTAACACTTTCAAGATTTCTTTGTAATTATAATACAGCAATCTGTACAATGTCCTATAAAAGCCTGTTTTTATTGATGAAATTTAAAAGAAAGGTGCAATTGTCAGATATAAAGTCATGTTGCAGGATGTTGGAAGTTGCAATTACGAGAAAGAAAAAAAGAGTTCTCAAAGTGTGACTTTACATCTTGCAACATGACTCTGAAATTTTTCCTCATAATTGTGAATTTATATCTCCAATGTGACTTTACGATCATGAGAAATGAACAGTTGTGAGATGTAAAGTTGCTGTTATGTGGGAAAAAATCGCAGTTGTGATAAATAGAGGCACATAAAAAAATCACAATTGTGTGAAACAAGGGTGGGTTGCAGGTTGTAATTATGAGGAAAAAATTGTGATATGTAGAGTCACATTGCAGGATATGAATGGATATTGCCGTTATTAGGAAAATAATTGCAATTGTGGTATTGTGAGATATAAAGCACAATGATAAGAAACAAAGTTGCATTTGTGATGTATAGGGTAATAATTACTTTTTATTTTGTATTTACTTGATAAAAAGGTATTCATTTTTATATACACAGAGCTATTTTTAATAAATACATGCCCACAGCATTGCATTCTAGCATTGTGTTCACTAATATGTATATACGCTACAATTTGCCACGTATTGTACATATTGCTGGAGACAGCATTTAGGACATGCCTACACCTTCACACACACCTATAATGCCTTAAAGCATTCACCCAAAAATTAAAATTCTGTCATTAATTACTCACCCTCATGTCGTTTCAAACCCGTAAGACCTTCATTCATCTTCGGAACACAAATTAAGATATTTTTGATGGAATCTGAGAGCTGTCTGATCCTGCATAGACAGCAACACAACTGAAATTTTCCCAAGTCCAGAGACGTAGCAAGGAAATCTGTAAAATTATCCATGTGACATCAGGGGTTCATCCGCAGTGATACGAAGCTACGAGAATACTTTTTGTGTGCGAAAGAAAAAAAAAAAACTTTATTCAACGATTTGTCTCCTCCGCATCACCCTGGTGCCATTTTGGAGAATATTCACTGAACGCAATCAACGTATGCTGTTCTGTGTCAGCTGCGTCACACGGATACGCTGTTTCCATTCAAATCAAATCACAACAACATAGGAAACAGATCCGGCGTGTCGCAGCTGACACAGAACAGCATACGCTGTTTACATCCAGCGGATATTCTCCAAAATGGCACCAGGGTGATGTGGAGTAGACAAATTGTTGAATAAAGTCGTTATTTTTTTTTCTTTTGCGCACAAAATGTATTCTCGTAGCTTCGTATAATTGCGGTTGTCGGTTGAACCACTGATGTCACATTGATTATTTTACAGATCTCCTTGCTACATTTTTTGGGAACTTGGGAACATTTCAGTTGCGTTGCTGTCTATGCAGGGTCAGACAGCTCTCAGATTCCATCAAAAATATCTTAATTTGTGTTCCGAAGATGAACAAAGGTCTTACGGGTTTGAAACGACATGAGGGTGAGTAATTAATGACAGAATTTTCATTTTTGGGTGAACTATCCCTTTAAATGCTGCCTACATAGGCAGCTCATGCCAGTGGTTTGGGAGTAACTTGTTGATCAGTTCAGTGGTTGGCTTCGCTTACACTATTGATTTATGGAGGTCAGTGCTGAATATGATCACAAGTGAGTTTGAATTGTTCACGTTTAAATCGGAAACAGACAAACGTTTGTTGTTGTTTCCAAAGTACTTGCTGAGTCGTAGTTCTTGGCTATGAAGGCACTTTAAAGTTTTGGAGGAAGTCAAATTATGAATAATATAACCAATAAAACATCTGGGCTTCCATGTGTTGTTTCATTCATCAAATTTCAACAAATCCTCATCTGGTTCACAACAGGCAATAGCTCTCTACAGTCACTGGTGATGCTGTCTGAAATACTCGCAATAGATTAACTGCTTGTTTGAGTGCAGAATAAATTCCAGATACCATCATGTGTACTAGCATTGTTTACTTTGAATTACATATTGCAGTCCATTAATTCAAAGCAGTTCCTAAGCATTTACATGTGGCCAGTCTTATTTATTGTTTTGATGCAAATATACATGTCCTGTTTAACCAAGAAGAATGTTTTTAGATGAGCTGGTTGGAAAATATGCATTTTGGAAACTCTTGTGATGGGGAAATCAAAACTATTGCATCATTTATTATATATTATAAATTTGTAGATTCGCTTTAAAAAGCTAATGACCTGCATAGCAGTATGAATTGTGTCAATTTAACAGGTCTTTGACTCACTATCGATGATGAAACAAGCTTCTTCCTTATGGCTTTACTTTTCATATCAGCAGCCGAGACGTTCCAGCACATGGTCTTCAAAAAAACTGGTAGCATGGAATCAAAGATGGTTCATGAGTTGACTATTACAATTTTAGTAAGGCAGACTAGTTTATCTAGATTTTCCTATATTTAATTTTTAGTTTAGTGGAGGTGCTTTAAATGGCATGCTGTGCATTAACTTTATACTGTTCTTATTCAGTCTGTAAATGCATCACCTTAGAAGCACTACTGCTCCAACTATATTCAGGTGAAATATGTTTGGTATTTGTATTGAGCTGTGTCTCAATGTTTTCTTGAATGTCCTGTCACTAGCTTTGCATTTTAAAATTTTATGTCAAGCTAAAAACAGTTAATTGGGGTTTGCAACATATTTTAATTAAGGTGACATTCTGATTAATGAGTGAATCAGCATATCCAATAATGAGAAAAATGTAGTGGGCCATTTTATTTGATTTGATTTTGCTTTATTTTGAATAATGCAAAATGTACATGTAGTACCATGGAACTAAAAGCTAGTTTGTTAAAGCAATAACTAAACAGAATGCTAGTTTGCTAAAACGACAATTAAATTGAATTTTAGCATACTAAAACAATGGGTGCATCTCAGTCAGCTCCCAAGCTTGTAAATCAGTATATCATGTACACAAATACAGTCACTGTTAAGTACCCTGACTCACTGCACATTGGGACAGTGATTTCTCAAATTGCGGCGACATGACTGCGTACAACGTCAACGGACAACATTGTAGAACCTCACCGCTGGTATTAAGCAACAACAGGCTGAAACAATCTCTTTTTGATATTATTTATTATTCTCACATTGCTCTGTTACATGTTCTTACAACATATTTCAGCCGAATATTAATTATAAATGTTAACTAGATGTGTTCACTACCTGTCTAGCGAAGTGTGTTTATGCTGAAATATACCAAAAAAAACGGTTTGCCCTTTCAAATCTTCATGTGTCATTATATATATATCGAGTTGGCTCTTGTGGTTTATGTTTTGTGCTTCAGAAATGTGACATAATTTCCAGTAAGGGAGCATAGTGAGCATCGATGCTCCCTAGTTTTTGTGGTGCATTGTGGGATTTTTCAGGGAGCGAATGTTCCAGTGCGCTCGAAGATTTCGCAATTGAGACAGCCCTTAAAATGGCCGACTCCCTGATCAGTGCCCTGACTACTGAACTAGGGAGTTGATTGAGACGCACCCAATGGCTTAATAGAATGCTAGTTGCTAAAACAGCGGGTAAATAGAATACTGGTTTGCTAAAACATAACCTAATGAAATGCTAGTTTGCTAAAATAACAGCTAAATAGAATGTTAAATTGATGCTAAAACAACAGCTAAAAAGAATGCTAGTTTGCTAAAAGACTAAATAAAGTGCTAATATACTAAAACAACAGCTACATAGAATGTTAGTTTGCTAAAACAAACGACGTATGCAGCCTTCGAATGCGACCTCTAGAGGGCGCAGCCTTCGAAATGAGACAAAGCTTGTAAGTTTGCTAAAACATCAGCTAAATAGAATGCTAGCATTCTAAAACAACAGCTAAATAGAATAGTTTGCTAAAAGTAAACAATGGGCAACATTATCCAATAGCCAGCACAGTCTTAGTGACGTCAGCAGTCATTTTATAAGAAAATGTTTACATTTCGATGTAAAATTGAACTTTGGAATAGCATACACTGATGAATCATTTACAGTAAGACCAGAAACAAACATCAAAAAAGTTTTGGTTCGTGCTGACTTTAAAAACGAGACCCCTGTTTTGTGCTGTTGCTGTTTTTGAAGTAAATGCCTCCCGAGAAACGCATCCAGTTGATCCCAAAACCAGACAGATTTTTGAAAATATGTAATTGCAGAGCATCAATTTTGTAATTGTGCAATTACACACTCTGAGCATCTCGCAGCTAAACAGCCTGTCCTCAGATGAGTCTGCTCTTCACCTCTGCTCCGCTCCCCCTCTCCGAGCAAAGCTGAAGCTCTTTCAATCGCTAGCCCGTTTCTCCCGACAAGGCTCATGCATTGTTTGTCTGGGATCACCCTTGTAATCAGGGTTAAGAGCAAATCTGCCTCATGTTATGCAACAAGCTCAAATCGCAGGTCTGGGAAGAGGGGAGCAAAAGCTTTAAGCTTTAAGCCACCATGGGACAACAAGCTTTATAGCAACGGATGGGAATTTGCTAGACAAAAACGCTCCTTTATTCTATCAAAACTAACCCGGTTGTTCTCAAAATAGCAGTGAAAACAATTTCCGTTTTGCTTAATACTCCTCTAAGCAATGAGATTTGAACACAATCCAGATCTGTATAATTAAAAGATTTTCGATATGATAATTCAGACTGATCTTTTTACCTCTTGTTTTTCAGATTTGGATATGCACCTGTGTCCATTTATTGCTGTACATGACTGTTGCTGCCTATTCCAGTGAAATAGGAAATCCCATTACAGATGACATCAAGAAGATTTCTTTGTTGGTAAGAGCTTGGACATTCTTATCTCTCCGCTGCCGGGGCTTTTTTTCCATGCGTATTTTGTGAAAGACAACAGCGAAGGCTGATTTATCGATGCTCTGGGGGAGAGAGCTGAAATGTATTTCATGTGTTTTGGAATGAAAGCCCCAGACATGTGGTTCAGAGTATGATAATAGAGTCGTATGCATAAATCAAATGCTTCTCTGCAGACAGTCTTTTTAGTATCATCAAATATCATCAGCCTGAAAGGATTATTGAGTTTATCGCTTTATTGGAACATATGAGTTGTGTTATGGCATTTGCTTTACTTTAGCAAAATATTTATGAAGTATGATGCCAAATCACTGTGCGTGCCATATGCTGAAAGGTTGATAACCAATGATTAAAATGTTTGGAAGTAGATATGTAACATATGTTTGTGGCTTCCATAACTATACCTTAGCCAAGGTTATAAAGCAAATTAGAGTAATTCCATGTTTACATTGTGGTTACTTACTAGTAAATTTTCATTTTTGCATCTTTATTGATGATGAAATGACCATGTGCATTGTAGTTTTTGGCACTCAGAACCGGCTTTCTTTCTCTCCTATTAGAAACAGAATATTCCAAAAGACTACAAGATTACATTACGTTATATACCTAAAGAAGTGGTGAGTTGTTATTCAGTTTTTATTGAATCGTTCATGGCAATAAAAGCAAACACAGTGATAATCTAGTAATATCTTTTATTTTTCTTCAAGAGTGGTATGTGCTGGGTGAAGCTAAATGTATTTCACTTGGAGGTGAGCTTAAAAGGCCTGGCGCAGAAGTTTGGGAACATATCCTCCAATAAAGATAATATAGGCACTTTGGTCCAAATACTGCAAGAGATGCGGTATCACATTGGACATGGCTTGGTAAGTTACCTCAACCAAGTGATCACAATAACAACTGTATTTCATGCAGAAATCTTGAAATATCTAGTATGTTTTGTTACAAAATTTTTAGTCAGCTATAAAAATTAATTCTATGAATATCGAGTGAGAAACTTTTGTAAAACGATTTGGAAATAAACAGTACAATCTGCAATGTTCCCTAATTTCTTTTTTTTAAATAGTTTAAAATAAATACAAATATTTATTGATTTATTTAGAAGTAAAACATTGTAACCAATGAACAAGAAACTAACTATTCATCTTGTAAAGCAGTGCACAATCTGGTATGTTTTATTAAGGTTTTATTAATTTCTTTTTCAATTATAGTTGTAAATAATTTCTATAAAATGAATATTTATTATTAAAATCTCTCTATATATATATATATCTTTTATTTTTAATTTTTACTTAAATTTATATTTTTATTTAAAACTATTTTTAAAACTATTTATTTGTATTAGTTTTAAGTAACATCGCAATCAGTGAGCAAGGTTTATAAAACTATTATTAATTTTGAATAATTAATTTTTTCTATTTATTCATATTTCTATTCAAAACTGTTTTTTAAAAAAATATTCATTTTTTAAATTATTTTTAAGTAAAGCATTGCAACAAATGATCCACTTGTAAATCGAAACCATTTTTTTCTGATTCATCAGGAGGATTCAATGCTAGAATTCGATTGTCACTACGTAAATGAGATGTGGCTTACGGCAAAGTATTTTGAATTTGTGGAGGACTTTTTCAACACTGCCAATTTGTCAAGGGATATTGAGGATTGTGAGCCCCCACCATGTCCCACATCCACAAAAACAACAGTAACGACAACTACAACAGCGTCGACAACGTCAGCGCAACATAGTACAAATGGTGAGGCGCATGTCATAACCAGTCTAAAAGGCCTTGCGAAGGCATGGTGTTGTCTGTGTCGTTTTTAATGAAGCTATTGAGAAACCACAGAATGTAGTTTGTGGAAGGCCACCCATTTGCAGCTGAGGTTTTAGATGTTAACACCTGCTTTTAAATCACATCTCTTGTGGCAGCTTTGGTTGCAATTTTGCACATGTTGTGTGTGTGTGTGGGTGGATGTGTGTGTTCCACGTCTTTTCATACGAAGCCACTGGACAAAACAAGAGAAGCAACATGTTTTTGTCAGCAGTATTATGACAGAGTCTCAGCTGAGTTTCAAAACCAAGAGATGCTCCCTAGTGAACGGCATGAATGGGTGAACAGAATCGAAGTCCAATTGTCACCATGTTGATTACAGAGCAATCTTCAGATCTTCCCAAGCGCAAGCTCTTTCTTTCTAAAAGCGGACAGATCAGATCTTTCATGGGGCGGAGAGAAAAGGAGATTGTTTCTGACTTTTTAAGCATCTAACAATGAACGGTTTCTATCTGAGACTTTTAATGCTTCTCTGTTTCTGGCTTTCTCTAGAGAAACGTAACGGTTTGCCTGATGACCCCGAAAAAGGTGAGTTATCACATAAATGTCTTCAGTCATCACTATTGTATGCATCCAAGGGATAGTTGATCCAAAAATGAAAAAGAAAAAAAATAATTTACCTACCCTCATGTTGTTCCAAACATGCACGGCACAAGAAGAAATACTGCTGTTTTTGTCAGCTAGCCAAAACAAAAAAAAACAACAAGAAATGACATGATGTTGAATAAATGTTGAAAGAAATTGTATTATTTTATTTTATCCTTTAACATTTATTTGAAGATGACTATCCAGCTATCCATAGAGGAAACAAGAAATGACTTGAGGGCGAGTAAATGATTTATTTAATTTCATTTCATTTTATTTAGGGTAATCTATTCCTCTACCAATTATTTGCGGAACACTGTCCAATGACATTAGGTTGACAGAATTTTTATTTTATTTTTTATTGTAGTTTTTGATTTATTTTGAGTGATCTATCTCTTTAACATTTATTTCAAGAGAACTATCCAGTTATGCAGGTCAGATGTTGAATTTAGTTCTCAACAGATATACCCTGATATATCTATAAGGTTTATCTTGCTATCTGTCACAGTTCAACAAGAGCATCTTTGCAAACTGATGAAACCAGTCTTATTTTTCTGTAGGGGCATTCCTTCCGAAAGTTGTGCAGAGCAGTCTTATGTCGCTCCTAGTCATCCCGTTCATCGCCGTGGTGGTGTTTCTGATGATCTGGAAGGTACGTGTGGTGGTGTGCCCTGCTGAGCCTTCAACATCACAGCCTTTTCACTTTAAATCCTGATTTTTCTTTGTTCTTTTGTAATGCAGATTAAATCTAGAAGAAACGCCCCTCAAACTGAACGAAGTCCGGAAGAAGGTCCCGCCCTTTTCTCAGGAGAGGAAGCCAATATACCCCCATTAGATGTGGAGATATCTGAAAAGTAATGTCTGCAACAGTCAAACACTTACATTGAGCCCCAAAATTTGTGAAAACTTAAGCTAAACTTCAAATTGGTTGTTGCATAGGAAATTAAATACATTATTAAATAAATCATATTTATTCTTTAATCAATATTTTTTGTTTTATAATATGAAACCTAACAAATCATTTTGCATTATTATTATTATTATTATTTTTATTTTTTTATTTTTTGCTTAAGTGTCCAAACATTTTTAGGTCTATTTTTGTCCTGCCTATTCAGATGTTTCAACACACCAATTAACACCAACTTCCTGTTTTCCTTTTCCAGAAACAGATTAAATATTATCATGTCAGTGTAAATCCAGCCCCAGCTTAACCAGCGCAGGTAAATAATGTTCTTGTAATAAATAACGTATTAACTTAACCTGCTTTACCACATACTGTTATCGATGAATAAAGTTTCACAGAGGCCGCAGCCATAATTTTGTTTCTCATTAACAACATTTCAGTCACTCCTTCAGACGGCACAATGGACAGGAACAAACAAGCACCACCTCCGAAAGATTCTCTTACTGAACTTCTAGTTGTGAAGGACGCATACTGGCCTGAAACGCAACAAACTGCTCTTTGAGAACTGATGCCCTCTCTTATCAACTACTGCTGAGCCCTTTGGGGTAGATAAGGTTGCTCCTTCTGAGAGTCACTCTTCATGCTCTTCAAAGCTTCCTTCTCCTCTTGGAGACCGCAAGGAGACAGAACGAAAGCAACACGGCATTGGATTCAACCGGAGATGTCAAATAGCCAAGCGCATTTTTTCGAGCGGAGGAGCCACAGTTCAGAAGGAGGGCAGCCATATTGTTGCTTGAGAGCAGATGGATATCTAAAAGGAGTTAAGCAGAATTGACTACCTCCAGCTGCACTGGTCCATCTCCTTCTTTCTTTCTTCGTCCTTGTTCTCTCTCTTTCTTTTGGTCTGGGTGTCCAGATAGACGCCTTCTCAGTTTTTTGAGTGCTTGAATCAGTAAAGTCATTGTCAGATTGTATCATCTGATTTGTGAATCGTTTTTTGTTGTCACTATAGACTGGTGGTGTGGACTTAATTTATTTATTACTGAATATGACATGACACCTGCATGGCAACAAATATCGATTGAGATGACGAATACACGATCGTCTCAACCTTAAAACATATCCCGCAATCCTTAAACTCTTATGTATTTCCGTACGTTCATACTAGCCGCTACCTTGTAAGAACCAATATAGCTTCTCAGCTGCTAGATGCAGTTACGTGAATCTTGTTTTTAATGCTGTTTATCAAATATTAAAGTCTTTTCAGTACATCCGCGATTAATGTAGTTAGTTTCACATTATGGCTTTTTATAAAGTCTGTTTCAGTGTTTTTAAAGTCCTTTAGTCAAAGAAAATTCCTGGTGGCTGCTAATTTTATAGACGACTCCGCTTTTGTCAATGGTCGTGAGAGTTTTATAGTTTGTAGATTTTAATTAAGAATTAAAATCGGATTTTTCTGCCGTACTAGAGTGAGATGCATCTGTCAGACTTAAAATATGGGTCAAAATGAACTCGACTAGTATTACATAAAAAACAAACCGGTACACCTCTCACTACGAAAAGCGACTTGTTTGAATACAGAAATTCAGTGGTCCTTTGACGCCGTCGGAAGATCTCGCTAGCAGTACAAAGTAACCGTAATATAAAACCTACATGTATGCTTCTACTTGTATTTTTGTGCCTTTTAATAGCATGGATCTCCCTGTAAAGATTATTTTTGGATAACCAGCCATATATTTATTACAGAAAAAATATATATATAATAATGATATTGCACTAGTTATATTCAAGAAAATTCCTCTAGGACATTTCAGTTGACTTTCCAAGAAAAGCATAACACGATCAGGTTTCGACTTCGGTCTCCTGCTGAGTACGAATCAATTTATGCATGTTCACATCTGACGTCTTACATGGTTTGCGCTTACATTTCTGTACATACTGATTTATGATAGCTACGACTCATATAGATAAGTGCTAATGATTTTGAGACAAAACTCAGAGGTTTTCAGATTTGATTTGTACCCTGCTTTCTCTAACTGGTTGTAATGATCTATATCCTGTGTTGTGGGGAATAACCTGTTGTCTGCCCAGTCTTCGTTTCTTAATTAGAGCACATCAGTTTTTTTTTTTTAGATACAGTATGTAATGTGAAGTTGACATTTGGTGAGTACTATCTTGTCCTGGTTAAGGTGGATGTTTACAAAAACTTGTATTAACATTGGCAGCAATGGAAATGTCTCTCATTGTAGTGTTCCACCGATTTTTATGCAGTTAGTCCGACAATCTGAGTCATTCTGAAGCTCTCGGTGGGGCATATCAGAGTAAGTATTTGCTTTTTCCATTACAGATCTCCTGTAATCCGCTCCAGACCATTTCAGTGTAGTTCAGGGCAGCGCTGGCAATGTTACAACATGAGGTCACAGATGATAAACATGCAAAATTTATTTTTACACTCGAATTGATTCAGGAACCTCAGTGAACTGGAGAAGTTCTCAGTCTGTCTTGATGAAGCTTCCTTTGGCGTCTTTGTTGGTGCTCTAATAAGGTTCCATGTAAAGAGTCAATAAGTAATTGTGACAAATAAGCTGCACCATAGAAATCTTCATAAGTGGAACATTCCTACATGTTGTATGAGTTTTGTGTGTGAAAACTGTGAAGTGAGCTAAGACCCCCCCAAAATACAAACCACAGACCACATGAGCCAGCCAGTGAAATTCCCACCACTGCCCTGAAACTACTGGGAAGGCACTGTTGCTCTGTTTTGTGATGCTGAGATGAGAGGGACGTACAAGGGAACCATACCAGGATTTTTCAGATTTGGCACATCCCAATTGCCGCAATTGGATCCTGCATCATATTTGTAAGACTGCAGAACACAGCTAGTCAGGAAGCCAGTCAGGGTGCCAAAAGTAAACAAGGAACTGTGCCCCAGTCATTGACTGGGTGACAGTCTACTGTATTCTGTATTTTATAAGAATATATGCAAATATATGTATGAGATGTGAATAAAGTACATGTATCCACCATCTCTGAGGCTTGGGTGGGCTTCTCATTACGACTAATAAAACCATGATAGTGACAGTTGAGCTGTCTGGGTTTGATTTTACTTTGTTTTTTTTCTTTCGACTTCCTTTTAAAATGTACTGATGCATTTAAAAGGACAGTTCACTCATCACCCTCATCCAAACCCAAATGACTTTCTTTTTGCAGAAGGAAGTATTGACTGAATGCCTTTGACATCCATTATAGTTCATGAAAGCTCATGAGAGAAGTAGCGAGTCATTCGAGACAGACTTTTGAGTTTTTTCAGTGAATCGGTTCATTCTGAATCCTGAAAGATTCATTCTGAAGCAGTCGAGTTCAGCTCACTCAATCTGATCCGGTTGCAATGTTTTACAAGTCACACGAGACTGTGAGTGAATAAAGACTAAAACTTTCTCACACGAAAATATTGTATGACTTCAAAAGACTTGAAATATAGATACTGATTCATATAGACCACATTTATGATGCTTTGATTGCTCCACAATATCAAATTCACTTTTATTATACTGAAGAAAGTGACCAGGATATTGTTCAAAAATCCCCTTTTTGTGTCTCACAAAAGACAAGAAATAAAAACGAGGGTTTGCAACAACATGAGGGTGAGGAAATAATAAGAATGTACATTTTTTTTTTTTTTGGGAATTGTTCCTTTGTGTGAAGTTGTTTGTTGTTATTTGATGGGTTCAAACAGCTTTTCTTTCCATTTACTAGGAAACAGCATGCCACAATCACAGGTACTGAGTAGGCTGGTTAAGGGTTCAAATTTCATTTCATGAAACCATTATCTTTCCTGTTAAATGAAACCGTACAATTGGAATGTAATTATTGTGAGGCTTTTTACAAAAGCTATTACCAGGAATATCCATAATGTCAAAATTTTAACACAGCATTTAGTACTTCAGTATTCTGTGTTTCATTTAAATGTCCAGTATGATCAAGCTCCACAGGAAAATGTGAAAAACACAAAAACTGAAAAATTACCTAAAGAACATATTCAAAAACACAACTGGTGTCATATGAATGTTCTTAAAAGGATAGTTCATCCAGAAATGAAAGTTCTGTCATCATTTACTCATGTCAATGGAAACCCGATTTTGTTTTGGATCCCACTGAATTTCTGTATGGACAAAAACAGTGGACACACTGGTTAAGAATGACATAAGGGTGAATATAAATATTTAGGCAAACTATCCCTTTAAGTGTTTTTACTTGTGTAGCATTTTAACGCCCCAGTTGACCCTTCGCAAAGACCCACCCCCCTTAGTTACTGTTGCTATGTCCGACAAGCCATGGTGCTCTCACGCCACACATCATGTTCTCACGCAGTGAAAAATACATTGTAGAGAAAAGTGGACACTGACAACACGCCAACAGACAAGACAGAGTAAGTTACTTTTGGTATGAAACAAAGTCTCAGCTCTCAAATGTTGTCATTTTGAAAGAAATTCAAACAATAAATACTGTTTTGTGGCTCTTTAATGTGTCGAGACAGATCGCTGTAGCGCCTCAGTTTAAGGCAAGCAGCACATGAACCGAACATCTCTTCCTCTTTACTAGTTATATAGCATGAAATAAATACGAATGAACATCAGAAGGTATCTTGTTTCAACAGCGGAAAGACATCAATTCACACCATTTCTCAGGTTCAAGTCCACGACGTTAATCTACTCTTCTGTCTGGTTTGTTTGTCAGACAAAATGGCAGATTCAGCATTATGATTGGTCAGACTGCCGGTCAATCAAACTCCTTGTGAAGGGTCAATTGGTTAGAGTCTGTTTATGGACCCAAATGCAAGCCTGTGGAGTGAAAATGCACTACACTATACCATCAGGGAGTTGTAAAAGTTAGGCCCAACTCTGAGCTAACAAGAAGGGCGAGGCATTTTAGCTGTTTTACCATCAGCCATCTCACTTGCTATGGTGTAGCCTATTTGGTGGTGGTGCCTAATGTAAACCTGCTGTGCATAAATTCTCCAGGCCATTTAAACACCCCTGTAGGGTAATACTTTCTTGTTAACTCAATAATATTGCTCACTAAAAAATAATTACAGAAGAAAAAAGCATTGTTAAGCATAATGGCGGTTTAAGGGTTTAGTTAGAAGTAGCGTCAAAACTAGTAATATGATCTTGTTTATTTGTGAAAGTTAAGGATATATGGACAGCCATTTCTCCCTGCCGTGCTTGTGTGGGCAGCAGTCTCCCGCTGCGCAAATATGCAGGCACTTCATAGTGCTACAATAAACTCTGCCGTCTCTTGAATCTTGAACCCAGACTGCAGAATGCATAATAAAGATAAAAATGGAAGCGTTTTTGCATAACAGTCTACGGCTCGGTCACCTCTGCCCTTCTTGGCGGCCCCCTCACATCGCATTAGCGCCGTTTGTGTGGGTTGGTACGCTGGTTGAGAGCCCAGGCAGATGACACTATAAGCCTGTCCCCCTGAATGCCAGCCTCTCCTGTGACAGTACGTACATTAACAACAACAAAAAAGGGCTTTTGAATGTGTGACAAAGGTCTTTATGAATTTAAATTGTGTGTTTTTTCTCGGCGGTGGGAATCGGCACAGGACCTTAGTCACAGGTCATGTGGTTTAGGGTTACTAAAAGCCTCTACGAATAGAGTTGTGTTGCGCGCTTTTTGCCCTTTTACAAAGCCCTTTCTGCAGCCGCGAGAGAAAGCGCTCGCCCCCAGGTGGGGAGAGGAGACGGACGAGTCGGGTCCCTGGAGGCCGTAACCAGAGGCTTATCAGAGCCCGACGCTGTTCTGTAATACTCCTGTGAAAGGCCTTCTCCACCGCCTCCCAATAGCCGCGTCTCTGGCCAGGAGGCTGTAATGGAGATCTCCGTGGCCCCTCAAGCAACGGAGGAGCAAAAAAGGGGGGATCTGTCTCAGGAGGAGGCGTCCCGCTCCAAAGCAGAGATGGGACGGAGGGAGAGATGACACTGCCGCGTAGGCGTGACAGAAGAGAGGAGAGGTCTAATGAGTCAGAGGGAAAAGGCTCGGGTTCTCCTCAGGGGTCCCCTGCCGCGAAGCGTCACCTCACGGGGCGCAGGTGGACACGCCCGGCATTCGAACGCCACCGCGTTTCTCATGGGCTCCCCGAGGAGCGATGGTGTCGTGGCTCAAAAGGATTGGATAAAGACCGGTAAGATTTACACCAGTTCAATGACATTCAGATTAAAAACGACGATTCAGCCGAGATGAGTATGCCTACCTGAGATTTGACTAAGGCAAATGCACAGTCTGATAAAGATAAATGCCGTAACTATGACTATGAGTCATGTTGCGATGATCAGTGGCTCGCTTCTTGGCTGCTATGCTGACTGCAATCCAAAAGGTTGTTTTGCCAGTAATTTTGCCAGCTGATACAACTGGCGTCGTGCCATGGTGGCCTGAAAGGCTTCCCAAGAAGAAGTTCAAGCAAAATAGAGCGCCTAAAAGGGTGATGAAGCTGATTTCAGGGCAGGCCAGGACACAGAAGCTCTGAATAACTGAATCTTTTGTGTTTAGCAGTCACTTTTAAAAAGTATGCAGGAAAAATAGATCATGCAATTCAAAATTCAATTAAATTATCTGTGTAACTTGGAAAATGTAAAATGCATTCGGTTCCTCAAATATCAGCCACCTCGCTGAGATTTTTTTATTTATTTCAAAATTCATTAACCCCAAGCATTTTGATTCTCAGGAGGATAAAGGGTGTGTAAATAGAGTTGTTTTCTTTTATCAAAATGAGAACTGTTGTGTGTTCATATTGTTTGCTGCTGTTTGAAATGCGGATTCTTTTCACACCATTCCATTGAATCATTTCAAAAGAGTAACTTGATAACCTTGAGGGTTTGGCTGCATGTCTAAAGCATATTCTCGTATACAAAGACATCTTTCCCTGGAGATTTTCAGAAATTACTTAAAAGACATCCATTTAATACATATATGATGTCACGTGGGATACAGCAAGTGCAATGTTTTAATTAAACAATAGGGACCAAATTATCTTCATAGCAGATTTATCTTGATATATCAACTTATGGCTGATTTTTTAAAAATATATCATATGCATAAATATTCATATTAGACTCTTAAACCAAAACAACAAATACATTTAAATATCATCTGAAACAATTGTAATAGTTAACCATTTATGCATAATATCTGTTGATATTTGAATCATCAATGATCTATGATGCACCTAATCATACATTTTGCAATAAATTATATATAAATATGTTATATAAAATTATATATATATATATCATTTTAGAATTTAGGATTCATTTAATAATAAAACATGAGAAACTTGAAATACGATAGTAACTGGTTATGATTGGCTGAGCGCCAAAGCGAGTAAACGGACTTGGTGTGAGCGTGTTTTATGCAAATTACTAGCGGTTATTAAACATCCGGATTCAACGATTTTACAACGAAGGCAAGAACATATTTACCCACCTGTTGAAAACTGCGTGAGAACTTTTCGACACACAAAGCAGACACTACCATAGAGCACATATGAATTACGTTTGAAACGTAACGTCTCACATGTGCTGCATCCCTAATTTCCCGCATCCGTCCTCAGAAATCATTTCTTCAATACCTAAGGTTACCCAGTATTTCCTCTGACGGAACAATTATTTATCATTATTAACAGGTCTTATATGTATCCTGTTAACTTCAACATAACTGCTGTTAATTCTCAAGGGTTAACGTTAGCACATACGTTAGGCCTACTTAAAATACAGTACCGCCAAAATACAGTACTTAGAATTTTATAGTGTGTCCACAGTCAGTGTGACACATAGAGAGCAGGGGATAAAAACTTAAGCATATGACTAGAATAAGCGTTTAATTAAATATGGAGAAACCCAGTGAACCCGACTCTTAAAGTTGATCCAAACTGCTAGACTGTCGAAATGAAGAATCACTAGCATTAAAAGTGGAACATTTATCTCATGTATGAGGAAGCAACAGATGAGTAATGATAAAAAAAAAGGATTTCACTCAGGTGCTTCCTTTATCAACCTTATCTTAATTCAATATATCAAATAT